ACAAAGTCACTTCCACAGTAATCCATTAATCCATTCATGGGTTAATGCATTCATGAGGGCAGAGCTCTTACTACTCACTACCCTCCCAAACAAYCAACTTATCAACACTGCCACGCTGGGGACCAAATTTTCAACGAGTCACTTGTATTTAAGAATTAGAAGTAAAAATCTTGAACAGGCATTTTTGAACGGACATRATATATCAATGTGATTCTCAAAAGTCATAAGTACAAACAAGGACTGAAAAGTTGATGTCCCAAATATACCATGAAACACTTTTCTTTTAAGTAATAGGATGATGGATTTCCCTCTAAATCCTTCATTTCACTCTTCTTTAAAACCTTTATGTTGCATTAACTATAAGTAAAATCCATATTACTTACAGAGCATTGAGAGCTCTTTATAATATGGAATTAATGCACATGTCTAGTTTCTTCTCCAGCAACTAAACTGGAATTCATGGTAAGTACAATTTGCTTATGGACTCGTGGCAAAATAAGTTACAGAAACTGTAATATTTCTGTTCTAAGCTTCATAATTCAGGACATGGAATTGAATGTAAAATTACAATGATAATAATAACAACATTTTGAGTGCTGTATTGTAAACTCTAGACATATTTACTTATTCATTCTCGTGATACAGTCTTGTTTTGCCCATGTTGTGAGAAGACTGAGTCAGAGATTAAGTCTCTTGCTTAAGATCATATTAAGTAATAAATTGTTAGAATGGGATTCAAACACTAGGTCCACTTAACCTCTCCTCTGTGCTACTTCCAGGTATTATAGTATTGTAAGCATTCTTGCAGTGTACAGTGTCAAGAAAGAACAGGATGCTTTCATATAAATTGTGAAATGGAAGGGAAAATGCAGTACCCAAGATTGTTGGTTGACTTGTTGCCCTAAAAAAAAATGTCTGCCTTGGACCTATCCCCTACTTTGTCTCTGTGTTCTTGATCCCTGGTGAGCTCAGAAATGTACTTTGAATAAATGTTGGTTGATTGGTGGAGTGCAATGGGAATTAGATGTGTTTTTATTTATATATATGTATGTATATGTGTGTGTCAGGAATATTCAAGCTTCTTTAAACTTGGTATTAGAAATCTTAGTTCTTAAAATTTAGCTTCCATATGTAACTCTTAATTGTGGCGTATTTCCTAGAAATATGTTTTTTAGGCTGTCAAAATAATTAGATATAAAAACTCAGTTATTATTGGGTAGTAATTTCTAAGATTAAAAAGGAGACATCTTAAATAAATAATTCTAATAAGGAAATATATATTTAAGTTTAGAGAAAAAGATTTAAATTATTCCTGTTCTTTCTATCACTATTATCTGACACTTTCTCATGAAAACATCTTTGACTTTGCTGATTAATAAAAAATAGCAAATCATGTGAAACATTGTTTTTTATACAGACATTTGAAGAATTAAGTCCTTTTATAATGTCTAGAATTAGAGTAGTTAAAAGTTTGGGGTATACTTTCATACTTTTAAATCCGTGATATATAAATGTATTTTAAATATAAATATCGTCAATAAACATGCACATATTTTAATGTCAGTGCATATAGTTCTTCCATTTTTATGGCTGCTTAACATTCATTATGTAGACYTACATGATGAATTTATTTAATTAACTTTCTGATGGTGTACATTTAGGTTGTTTCTAATTTTTTCCTGTTATAAAATGTAGCACARTGTACATTTTGTACATATCGTATTACTTGCCCAATAATTTCCTTGCAGGAAATTTCTGGGGGAAAGAAAAACTGTTGAGGCAAAAATATATATTTTGTAATTTCTGAATTTTCCTCTCTGTCTTTTATGAAATCAAATTACCAAAAGTGTGTATTAGCTTATACTTCTTTCAGCAATGGAAAGTGTTCATTTTGCTACACTTTCTTAGTGCAAATCTGATAGGTAAAATAATAATATCTTTTTTTAATGAGTTAAAACATGATTGCAGTACCATTAAAAGGATCTGATGACTTGATTTACATCTTGTTCTGTGGGATTCTGTAGTGTTTCAGATATTCAGAATGACAATTTTGAGTCATGAAGTCAAAAGGRTAATTGAGTATATGGGCCTAGAACCCCTACACAACAAATATCTTTTCATATACATACTAATTTTTTGAACCTGTGGGAAAGAATGAACCTTAAGAGTTTCTAATAAGCAAAAGAATGATCCTTAACAGTTTCTAACAAGTAAAAATTAATATAAATAAGTACCCTGTATAACTCACTGAAAATGTGTAAAATAATATTTATTTTCTTCATTTATTATACATGTCATCTCTTTCTCAGTTTTTTCTGCATTATTGCTTTCTAAGGAGGCTTTTTAGATATTTCCCCCTAACTGTCCCCACTGTGACATTTGGATAACATATAAATATATTACCCCATTAGGGTAATGCTGCTCTCATTAGCATGCCATTTATGTATGCACTTGTATTAATATTTGGGGGAAAAGCAGAAAAAGCTTTGCTCTGCGTGAATAGTTACTTTGTTTTCGTGGGGCTCAAAGAAAATGTCAGTGATTCTGTAACTTATCAGTTGTCCAAAGGGAACATTAGGTTTAATAATTGCCACTATTACTTCAACCAGCCCGTTGTTAAACTCTAAACATATGCCTTGGACTACCTAAGTTTTCTAGAATATTCAGACACAGTATTTCCATTCTTAGGAAAATTAATATGCAGAGGGCACAGTGAAATTATTGTGATTGGAGACATTTTATTGAGTTTAGGGAACAGTATTGTTAGGAGTAATAGTGATGCATTAGAAGTAATAATAAATGTTCAAATCTCTATCCCAGTGGTTTTTAATTCCATGAGGATGTTTATAATGTCTGGGAGCAATCTTTAAAAAATAATCCAAGTAACATTACTGGGATTTTGGTATATGTATTTTTTAAATGGGACATATATATAATTATGAAAAATGGGTAACAAACTTAACTCTTTAAATCTTAGGAAGAGATTTGGTTGACTGTTGTCAGGACTCAAATGAATTTCAGGAATACTAAAGAATTGAAAATTAACTTATCCATTTTGGCAATTCTTTATATAAYACCCTTCAACTTACTTTTGCCTACTTTGAATTGAGGTATACTAAAAAAAGATAGCAGTCTTAGAAGAAAAAAAATGCATTTTATGTCTTTGGAGAAAAAAAAATGGGTATGGTGAGTGTTCTTTATATTCTGTTTTTCTTTGTTCTTGAAATATTACAATATCACATTTTAAATATAAACGTACTTTTCTTTTGAAATTTTCTTTTGAAATTTTGTACATCTATGAACTGAGGTCAATATAAAAAGATTTTTGTAGTTGTCATAAATTAACAATATGTTTATAATAAAATAGCAGTGAATGACTTCATTATTACCACAACTAGTAAACTACAGCAAATAAAATTATTTCCAAAGGCCTTTTCTCTTTCTGAAAGTATCAGAAAGGCGAATGGTTCTTGCTGTTATTCAAGCAATTATTGGAGTGATAGAGTATGATTTGCAATTCTACAAGATGACAAGTTGGTGGTCCTTTTTTCCCCCGTATAAGTTAACATGGAAAAAATAAGTGTATTTAGAAAGAAACCATATTATTTATTAAGAGTAACAAAATCAGCCTATGTTTTTATAAAGAAAGAAAATAATATTACATATACTTCTTAATACTAATATTAGGCTATATGCCTGTTTTACAGATAAGGAACATTGTCAAGTGTTTTGTTTTAGAAGATTTATTTCAATCTAGTAATGGTTGCATCTGCATTCAGAATTTTGCCTCTGCATTCAGAAATTTTTTTAAGTTCTTTTCCTTGTGAGATTTTAGACATCTGACCTTTGGAGTAGTGAAAGGGTGGTTTTTGACATTGTTCTATTAAAAAAAAAAAAAAAGTCCCTAACATGATTGTTTCTTGTATAAGTGCACTTTTAGTATAAATATAATCAAAGATATTTTTCTCTGACTTATGCCAAAAACAGACTCATTATTAAAGAAAACTATATTCAGATCTGTGATAACTTGTTGTAATGGAGGGAATATTGCTTGGGTTTATGGCATTATTATCTGACAAAAATTGATTAGATCATACAGATACTTGGTGGAAGGTGACACCTAGCTTGCATTAAAAGAAAATTATTTTAGGTTTGGGGGCTTTGCTTCTAAGAGGTAGATTTCAAAAAGTCACTGATAGTGGCTTGGAGGAGATGTTGCCAGCTATTCACTTGCCAATAAGTTGTTCTTCTAAGGTAGGAAAACACTGTGTAAATATTTTTACATTATATGAAGACATAAATTTCTATAGTGGATTCAGTGATTGAGCATTAGATTTCTTTTAAAAGGGACTGGTATAGTATCACTAAATTTAAATTTGTTAAATAGGACATATAGTCATTTTTCTAAAATCAAGTATTTTTACTGTTCACCTTGTATCAAACTAAAGTTTTCACCTAAAAGCATAGAAACTCTAGCTCTGAGTGCATTTTGCTTAGCAACCAGCTTGTTGTCTACTGTTTTGCTATTGAATGCACGTACTCATGCCTGAGAAATATATCTGCAGCCAGCTGGACTCAACTGGACAATACTTCATTCACTAATTTCCAGACTAGTCAGGCAMAGACATCAGCTCATTGTATTTAGTCATGAGGAAATTTATTTGTAAACTTCAAGTAGTAGCACATGGATCTCAAAAGCCTCTGGATATGAGAAAGGCCTTCTAATTCAGGAATATGAGAAAGACCTTCTAATTCAGGAATGTGAAGTCCTTGGAATTCAGAAATGCTTCACTTTTTTTCTTCTTAATAATGCTTCCAAGTATATTATTTAAAAATACATAGCTTCTAAAATCCTAGAAAAGTGCAAGTATCTCCTAATAGGAAAGAGAGTTTAAATTCTAAGAATAACTTTAGAATTAGCCTCAGTATTCAAAATTTTTCATTTGTGTTTAAACTTTAATTATCTTCCTTGATCCTCACATGGTCATTTTCTCTCTTAGAAAACAAAAGTTTTGTTGGCATGTAAAGCTCCAGTTTCCTCAAAGTCAAGCTGAATACATAGAAAAACGGTATAGTATAACCACTTTCTATTTGTTTTTATTTTAAGGCTCTGTAATTATAATAAACTGTTAACTAAGCATATGTCTGGCACAATGAATAACTTGTGGTATGTCATACAATGAAATACTAAGCAGCACTGCAAATAAATGAGCTCTGGCTGTGCACATCAACATGAGTGAATCTCAGAAAATATGTTGAGTGAGAAGTGCAAGTCAAGTTAAGGAAGAATGCATAGAATATGAGAAGAAAACAAAAAACCTCCCCCAAACTGAATAGTTTATTTTTCAAGAATACCAACATAGGTGGAAGAACTCTAAGAGAAATGATTTAACATAAAAAATCAGAAGAATGCAAGGCTGAAAATGTTGTTTCTTAGACTAAGTGGTTGTATAGGAAATGAAAAGTGACCCAAAATTATAGTACGCAGAGTTTATTACTATTAACATTATAGTATATTCTTCAGAAAATACATTATTTTAGTCATGTGTCTGTAGTCATAATTGGGATTAATTTGCATGAAGTTTGTTGTTCTGCTTTTTCAGATTAGGAATGTATTTAAAGTGTTATTCAAAATTTTAATGATTGTGCTATTTGATTCCTTGGTTTAGGAGAATTTTAAAGTTGCTGTTTACGTAGTATATTTAGCATATGTCCACATTATACACAATGTCTTTTCTTTGTAATTGGGTTTTAGTGAAGAACTTTGCTATTTGAAGCTGCATGCCAAAGAGAAAGGACATATTTTATAGATAGGAATATGTAGTCAGTAGWATAAAGTGGTTGAGGAAGGGTTACTGTGTCAAAAATATCTTAATTTTGTTTATAAAGCTTTACATGTAAGTTTAAAATAGTGTGCAATAGGAAAGTTGGAAAACTTAAAATATTTTAATTCCAGGAAAATTATTATAAACTTTTTAACCTGGCCTTATGATTTAGAATGATAACTTGAACATGCACTAAAATTAACATTTTCTGAAACCATTCTTGAATTTATTTTTTATTTCTAAAAGTTTCAAATATATTACATATCGACTCCTTTTTTTTTTCCATGTTTGAGCACAGGTGTGTTAAAAGAGGCTTCATATTTTTATAATTAATCTACAAGGAGCTTTTCAAAATGTTTTTTTAAAGACCTTGTTAAATATACGCAAGAAGTCTTTTGTAGCTTTTTCCCTGTGTAATTTTTGCTTGACAGGATATTATATTTTGCCAAGAATAAAGTAAAAGGTTTTTGTTCAATTATTTAAACAATAACAAAAAACCCACAAATTTAGTAATTCTAAGTTAACACCTTTTACAGCAAATTATAAATAATAATCTAGCTGTTTTCCTTTCCTTTATTGAAAAGAGTACCAGAGGATAAAACTATTAATGAAATTCTAAAACCTTACATTGATCCTGAAAAGTCTGATCCTGTTATTCGTCAAAGGTACGTTTAAAAACTCCTGTTAACTGTTTGAAGTAATTAAAAGTGTTGAAGTATATTTTAGTTGCATATTTATTATGGTAAGATATGGCTGTATTGGGACATGATATGTTGGTGCAATTTACTTTTCCTTGCAATTTACTATTTCCTTGGTGTTTGCTGAGATTCAGTCCATATAAGTAACATCAGTAGCTAACACTCATTATTTACTGTGTCCTGGACACTCTTCAAAGCAGATAATAATAAACATGCTAATTCATTGAATTCTCACAATATCCTTGTATGGTAGACTAGAGGTATTATGTCCCTTTTAACATACTGGGCAAATTTAAAGTGGTTAAGTAAACTTGSACAATTAATAAGCATGAAAGCTGGGGATTTCAAACCATCAGTCCAGATTCAYAATCTGTACTCTTAACCTTTAAACTAAGCTGCCTTTCAAGTTGAACCAAAGACTCTGAAAATTAAGACTTTCCAAGTAACTATTAAACACAGGAAATCCTGCTTCAGCCAAGTCTTCATAGAACTAAGTAAGGTACACTCTGCCTCCTATCCAGAAATACAGTATGGACAAAAGTAGTTAACATAGCATAGTGGAAAGATTCCGTCATGGATATCCAAATTAAAATAACTGGCTCTGTCCCTTATTAACTGTGTGATCAGACTAAATTACCTAATTTCCATGCTTTTAATTTTTCCATCAATGAAATAAGAATGGTAATACATACTAGATAGGGTTGTTATGAACCTTAAAAGAAATAGCACATTCAGAGTTCCTAGTACAGGACCTAGCATATAGTAGGCAGTGCTCAAGAAAGGAAACTATTATTGGTGTATGAGTTATTAGTGCTCCTGGGCAGGAACCCAGTTGACTTTATTTTCACCAGATGGTACTTGCTTTGAATATGAATGCTTGGATTGTGCCAGAGTAATTTGGTATTCAAAATTTAAACTGTAGATTCTAAAATGTCTGATCTGGTCCATTTCTAATTAAACCTCGTTTTTCAACTTTTGCTAAAAAATATTGTTCAAACTGATCCAAACTCAAGTAACATTTCAAGCAGTATTGATAGTTGAGTTTCTTTCTTTATAATTGATAATCTACTTGTCATCATTAGTCATATACTTGGCAGAAAGACAAAATACCTGTTACTAATTTGGATACATTTGAGCAAAAGTATGTGTAAAATAGCTGTTATTATTTTTACACATGTTTGTTGAAGCAGGTATTTTTTTAATTTAAGATGTTTAATTGAACAAAGAGAAGAAAAGTAATTTTTTCAGATCCTTGGTTAAGAAACATCTTTACTTCTTTTCTGTGCTTGGATTGATGAATTTTTAAGTATTATTAGCTGTTCATAAATGCTTAGTCTTTATAAAAACTGTCTTGAAAAGTACTAAAAATTAATTTTGCTTTCTTCAATATGATGTTTTTATTTCAGGTTGAAAGCCTACACTCACTCTCAGACTGAGGTCCAAATTTTAATGAAGGTTGAATATATGCAGCAAAACCTAGTAAGGTAAAGTTGCTCCCTCCCCATTTCTTTAAATATTTTSTAATTCTGTGATATAATTAATTACCTTGATTACCTTACATAGCTAGTTATAAAATTATCTGGCTGTCAACCTAGACTTATAAAAAATAATTTTCAACTGGTGCACATACCTGTAATCCTAGCCACTGGGATAGACTGAGGCCAGAGTATTGTAAATTAGAAGTTAGCTTCAGCAGTTTATCGAGACCCTATCTCAAATTTTTAAATAAATAAATAAATAGAACTGGGAATGTAGCTCAGTGATAAAGTGCTCTGGGTTTAATTTCTAGTACCTAATAATAACTTTCAATTTAAGATTCTTAAATATTAGACTTACAATTGTAAATTTGATTGAAAAATAAACCTAGTTAGAATATTTAAAAATATCAGTTACAACTAAAAGATTTCTAAATTTCATCTTAACTTACTTCAAGAAATGTTCTATAATATGACATCTGRTGAGTTCCAGTTTTCAAGTTTAGACTTTAGAAATAAGAAAATATGCTGGACTAACCACTGAATATATTGTAGTTTGAAGAATACTGCACAGAAATGTGAAGAAAACAGCATTCCAGCAAACTATGAGTTGAAAAAGTTAATAATACCTTCAGGTTTTGTTCCTTATTAACGGGATGATAAATTAGACTGAGACTCTTCACAAAGTGTACCTAAATGCCAGTTATATGACAGCATATTGAATTGCAAAACACTGATCTTTACAGACATGTGTTTCCCATTGTTTAATTAACAAAAGCACTAGATTGATTTAATAGATGTGGTCAGTTTCTTCTATGATATGATTTGCTAGTTTAGTTTAGATGTTGAAGAGTTCAAGCTATGAAAGCATCACTGGATTTGGATCCCAGCTTCACCTTTTTCTAATTATGTTAACTTGAGTTAATTACACAGCATCACTTGACTTAGTTTCCTTTTCTCTAAAATTGAAATGACAAAGTTTATCATGAAAGAAACACATGATAAATGCATGTTTTTATTATTACTAGTGTTATTACCAATACTGTTATTTCTACTATTGTTACTGATAAATGTTACAAAAGATCTTCATGTTAAGATTAGAAGATTATAAGGCTAAGACAGAAGATCATAAATTCAAGGCCCAGCTTGGGCAACTTAGTGAGACCCTGTCTCAAAAAAAAAAAAAAGCAATTGTCCTAAATTATAATAAAATACTTCAAATTATAACCAAAGGACGCAGGAAAGTATGTTTTAAGGATGGAAGCTCTATTAAGAAAATTTTAACCATTAATAAAATGAAATATTTTTTAAAAAGACTTATAGCTAACAAAGGATCTTAAAAACCACATCTGACCACTTTTCTTACCAACGTATCTCAGATCCTCCAACTTTATATCATTCATCATGGTTCTCTAATAAAAAATTCAAATTATCTATCATATAGTTCTTTCTATATGCCTCTCAATTCAATATATTTACATGTAGTTTGTGGTCCTTTCCTTCTTCATGCCGAATCCCAAACAAGAGAAAATAAGTTTCTGCAAATATAGTTACCCAGAGTTAAAACGTCCATGTTAACCAAAGTCAGTAGTTCTTAAATTGGGACTCAAGCACTTAGGTAATTAACAATAAATACTGGTATAAAGGATAACATTGTTTCAGTTTTTAGGAAAATCAAAAGGAATTCCATATAACTCATTTTTTATTTTTAATTTTTTATTGTTTTAATTAGTTATACATGACAGTAGAATGCATTTATGCGCTCTGATATGTCATACATGGATGGGATATAATTTCCCACTTTTCTGAGAATATATGTTGTAGAATCACATTGGTCATGCAGTTATCTATATACATAAAGTAGTAATGTCTGTCTCTTTCTACTTTTCTTCCTATCTCTTCCCCTCCCTTCCCTTCACTTCCCTCTACCTAATCTAAGGTAACTCTAGTCTTCTCTTGTGCCTCCCYGCAACATTGTGAATTAGCATCTGCATATTAGAGAAAACATTCGGTTTTTGGTGTTTGGGGATTGGCTTATTTTGCTTAGAATGATATTCTCCAACTCAGTCCATTTACCAGCAAATGCCATAATTTCATTCTTCTTTAAAGCTGAGTAATATTCCATTGAATGTATATAYCACATTTTCTTCATCCATTCATCTACTGAAGGATACCTAGGTTGGTGCCATATTTTAACTATTGTGAATTGAGCTGCTGTAAACATTGTTGTGGCTGCATCACTGTAGTGTGCTGATTTTAAGTCATTTGGGTATAAATTAAGGAGTGGAATAGCTGGGTCATATGGTCTTTCCATTTCAGATTTTCTGAGGAATCTCCATACTGCTTTCCATAGTTGTTATACCAATTTGCAGTCCCTCCAGCAATGTATGAGTGTGCCTTTTTCACCACATCTTCATCAACATTTATTGTTTCCTGTATTCTTGATGATTGCCATTCTGACTGGAATGAGATGAAATCTTAGTGACTTAGTTTTGATTTGAATTTCTCTAATTGCTAGAGGTGTTGAACACTTTTTCATATATTGGTTGATTGATTGTATTTCTTCTGTGAAGCATCTGTTCAGTTCCTTAGYACATTTATTGATTGGGTTGTTTGTTTATTGGGTGTTAAGTTTTTTGAGTTCTTTATATATTCTAGAGATTAATGCTTTATTGGAGGTGCATGTGGTAAAGATTTTCTCCCAGTCTGTAGACTCTCTCCTCACATTATTGATTGTTTCCTTTGCTGAAAAGAAGCTTTTAAATTTGAACCCAGTTCATTTATTGAGTCTTGATTTTACTTCTTAAGCTTTAGGGGTCTTGTTAAGGAAGTCAGATCCTAGGCCGACATGGTGAATATTTGGGCCTATTTTTTCTTCTGTTAGGCACAGGGTCTTTGTTCTAGTGCCTCAGTCTTTGATCCACTTTGAGTTGATTTTTGTGCAGGGTGAGAGATAGATGTTTAATTTCATTTTGCTACATATGGATTTCCAGTTTTGCCAGTACCGTTTGTTGAATAGGCTATCTTTTCTCCATTGAATGTTTTTGGCATCTTTGTCTGGTACGAGATAACTATATTTGTRTGGGTTTGTCTCTGTGTCTTCTATTCTGTACCATTGGTCTACATGTCTATTTTGGTACCARTATCATACAGTTTTTGCTACTATAGCTTTGTAGCATATTTTAGGTTTGGGATTGTGATGCCTCCTGCTTCATCTTCTTGCTAAGGATTGTTTTGGCTATTCTGGGTCTCTTATTATTTTTCCAAATAAATTTCATGATTGCTTTTTCTATTTCTATGAAGAATGTCATTGGGGTTTTAATAGGAAGTGCAGTAAATCTGTATAATACTTTTGGTAGTATGGCCATTTTGACATTATTAATTCTGCCTATCCAGGAGCAGGGATATTTCCATATAATTCATTTTTAAATTGAAAGATTTGCCTCCTTCTCTTTAAATTGACTTTTGGTAAATCATTAAATAATTCTATTCTCTCTTGTTTTATTTTCTGTGCTTCCTCTTCAAGTTCAGTTTCTTTCTTAACATGGAACATATTTTATCTACTTAGTTCATTTAAGTGTTACTCATGGTTTATACCATGGTGCRCGTTTAATGAGTATAGTATAGCTTCAGTCTCATAAGTCTACTAAGAGAATACTTCTGAGGGTCTTTATAAAAAATARAATAGCTTTTTAGTTAGTTGTTTCATTTTCTCTAAGCTATAAAACTAATATATACTCTTCTAGTCTTTTCCTGACAACCTGGTGACAGTCTCTGTCTAGTCATTTTGAATACTGCTATACCACTCTGAACATTTGCCAACTCCTTGTCATATAGACTGCAAGACTATAACAATAACATAAATGGCTCAGAAGGAATGTAGAAGGAAGACAGTATAAATGTTGTCCAAATTGGATGATGAAATTTTATTCTTTTATTTTTCATGCATGTAATTTTCATTATAAAGATATTCCTCTGTTTTATTTTAAGAAAATAGGACAATTTAAGGAACTTTTTACTCATAAGAGCAGTAAGGAGAATAAAAATGAATACCTCATTGTTTCCTTTTAATGTGTTTATCTGTTCTTAAATAATTGCAAATAGTAGTCACCAGGTATTAATTTAATGACTATATGGATAATTGTTTCTTTTTTTAATTAATAGACATGTATTTGAAACACCTTACTCACTTTTTTAAATTTTTATTTATTTATTTATGGTTTAGTTGTTGATGAACCTTCATTTTATTTATTTTTATGTGATGCTGAGGATCGAACCCAGTGCCAGTGCACTCACACATGCTAGGCAAGTGTTCTACCAATAAGTCACAACCCTAGCCCAGCTTACTCTTAAAGAAACAAATAATATCTATTTTGGTCAGTTTGGGTGCCCATTTGACCACATTCACCATATTTACCTGTTCTCATAGATATTTCAACTTCTGTCTCAAAGCTGAGGAAAGCAATAATTTATATCATTTCAAAGAAGAAAATTTTGTTTTTTTCTTTTGGTTTTGTTGGTCTGGTTGGTTAGYTGGTTATTTTCATTTGCTGATTGTTTTCATTTTAATTCTTCCTTTAACTGAAAATGGAGGTTTGTTATATGTCCGTGTCAGTCAAGATAGATTGAACTGTGGCTAATGAAGAAATATGTCAGCTCACAAATCCAGTCAGACTTGACCCTGGTAGATTATACTCTTCTTCCAAAACTCAAGGAAATCAGAATTTGTATGCATAGTTAGGTTAGAGTACAGGACAGACTACTTGGAGTCCAGAGAGTATTTATTTTTAGTTTAAAAATGTGTACTATACCCAGTGGCTTGGGAAACTGAGGCTGAAGGATCATGAGTTCAAGCCAGTTTCAGCAACTTAGCAAGACTCTGTCTCTAAATAAAAAATATGAAAAAGGACTGGGGGTGTTGCTCAGTGATTAAGCACCCTTGGGTTCAATCTCCACTACCAAAAAAAAAAAATTTGTACTATGCATCTCTGAAGCAACAGAGAATGGAA